ACATCTGCTGTTTGTCTGTGCTCTGCTGTCAAACAGTCAGCTTAAACAAAGTGAGCATCTAACATCTCCAGAGCTAAGGGGGTGGGGGTGGGGGTACGGGGGGGCCATAAACCTCACCTTCCTCCACCTGTGTTTCTTCACGTCTGTTGTCCGTCCTCCCTCCTCCTCCTCTCACAGATGAGAGGTGACAGCTGCTGTCAGCACCTTCTCTCTTCCACCCACACTATCAGCCCTGCTCTCAGCTCGGTTAAAAATTCATTCCAAAGTGTCACCTCAGTCCAGAGAGTCCACTCTCTGCTATCTTCACCTCAAACCTTCGTTTTCTCGTTTTCATTTTCTTATGTCTTAAGACAAACTGACAAGTTATTATCTGTCACTCTACCTCCACACCAAAGTCCATGGAGAAAAACACTGTTCTTACCTCACAGGACGCAGCAACTGCTGGTTCACTGCTGCCCCCCGTGGTCACCATTGTGTCGCTCAAACAAGCAGTAATGAATTAGTGAAGTCGCAAAATAACACACTGGAAAGTTGAATGGTGCCTCCATTACAACGGTCCATTTTAGGATTTTTAACATTTCCAGCCATCCTGGCCTGTTACAAAAATCTATTTTGTATTAATTCAAATGTAGTTTTAAGCTCTGGGCTGGAAGCTCCTCCAGATGTGCTCCAAGGGCTTTAGGGTTGACAAAGTCCATCAAGTCAGCAGTAAGGGCTTTAGGGTTGACAAAGTCCATCTCAGCAGGGGTGAAGATAAAACTGTCATATAATAATAAATCCTCTGGTTGAAGCAGGACGACTGCAGACAAAAGTGAACCGAGGAGAAGAAATGATGTTGAGCTCCTTCTCCTGAGCAGAGAGGATGCAATGGAAATAATATCTTTAATGATAATGAGCTCTGGCTAAAGTACCTGGAAATGGGTTTGAGAGCGGCTCAGAGGAGTGTTAAAAGCTAACAGCAGCAGTCATTAGAACAAATGTATTAGAACAAATCCATTATAAATCCTTATAATCTGCAGCAGGCTGTAAGCAGCTGGCTGGAAGTGTTCAGGAAACCCCACAAATGTTCAAATACAGAGGGAGGAGAAGCTGCCCATACTTTTAACTTCATTGATTTCAACTGTGAAATTTGTTCCCAGGCTGACACCATGTTTTCACTGAAAAAACCTTTGCTACAAAAGGCACATATTGCATTCACCTGGGGGCGGCATGTAGCCATCGTAGAATTTAAAATTGAGACTCTGAAAGTGTCTGATTTACAGGAGGCAGATTGTTCTTTGTGACTACATTAATGTAGCACTGCCTCAACAGCTCCTCAAAAAGTCCTTTCACCATTTTCTGCTCTCTGACTTTTCCAAGACTGTATTGATCCACTAAAATGACATTTTTTCTTTTATTCCCCTCGGTTGGCCACTGTAGTGCTGCACCTCCAGCCAGCAGGGACCAGAGTCTCATTCAAAGACTGTTTCTGTCAAAACAAAGGTTTCGAACTCTGCCCTTCAGGTTGAAAAATGGCCCCCCGTCTGCCATCACCGCTGCCTTTTCAATTACTTACTGCTGTGTCTCTGCAGGGCCGAGGCTGAGCCTGGGTCTGGGTTAAAATGAGCTCTGGGTCTTGGGCTCAACATGAGGTCAGGGGGAAAGTAGCGGACAAATACAGGAGGAAGAAAAAAAAACTTCAGGTGGAGGTGAGTGCACAGCCATCAGTGCACTGACTGAACCAAAGAGTCCAACCACTGGAATGAATGCACAAGTCAAAGAGCTACGAACCAGGAGTCAGGTATTTTAAGCAGTCAGAAGCTGTTGTTAGCGGTGCTAGTGGTCAGTAGAGACAACTAAAAGTCCAGGAAGACTAACTAGGACAGCCAGGCCTCAATGTCCATTTAAAGTCAATGACTAACTTTAAGACTTTTAGATGGGAAGCAAACGATTGCAACTGCTGGAAAAATTGTAATATTGCTAAAGAAAACGTTTAAAGTTTATATGTAAATATAAAAAGGAAAAACATCTAGAAGCTACAGGCAGCTACATACTAGCTACAGCATTTGGTGAGACATAATGAGTGAGCTAGTTGTAATGAGCTAGTTGTTAGCTATTGGTATTTGTGTATTAGTGTCATGTTAAAGTGTCTGGACAGCATTACAATGGTTGATTTATAAAATTCCATCAACAGAACAAACAAAGGTGATAACGGCTAGCTCATCTGGTATTGGTTTGTTCGCTATGATCAGCAGTAAAAGTAAAGCTGTAAAAGCATGTAGCTAAAGTAGACTGTATTGGTATATATCATATTTCATGCCTTCAATGGTACCTTTAGCAGTTAACGCAGCTACGGTAGTTGTTAGCAGTTATGCTAATCTTTCCTCTTGAGTCCATTGACATTGAAAATTCACCAAATGATATGTTTAAAAAACATGCTCGATTAGATGCATGAGCTGTAACGACTCAGACATCGTCAGGTCTTAAGAAGCTAGAGATAAGAGAGCTTTAACATTAAAGCATCAAAAACAAGGCTCTTCCACCTGGTTCTGCTTCCTGCACAACCTGAAAGAGTTGATCTGCGTCACAAAGACCAGCAGACAGTCAACACGTGTGCAGTCGCGTCACATCTTTGAAGGAGAAATAATGAGTTCATAAAGCTTCAAAAATGAGAGTAATCAGCAACAAACATCTGAGGATCTCCTCTGTTTGATCTCTGATCACACTTAGATTCTACAGAATTATTTCCCCTCAGCTTCTTTAGCTCTGCTTCTGGTTACGTGTTGTTTTGAAACATTCAAACTCAGTTTCAGTATTTAATCCTTTTCCATTTCTGGACATTTCTGGACACACTTTTATCTCCTAGCTTTCGTTTTTGATTTCTTTAAATATGTGTATTATTTTTGTGTGTTATGACGTTTTTTATTGGCTTTTTTAAATGTGATATTTTTCCAGAGCCCTCACTGTGTTTGATGGATATTTGACCTTATTTTCCTATGATTTCCTGTAGGTTGTGCCGTAGTGAAACGGGTATAACACGTGCTATCTTTTTGACATCTACATTATTCCAAAATTAAACTAGGACGCATTAGGTTGGCAGTACTAAACCAGACCGTGTGTTTGGGGTGTACCCCCCCCCCCCCCCCCACACACACACACACCTTTCAGCTGAGTAATTTTCTAAAACCATTTTTATCTGGTTGTTATCGTCAATGAATCCTGTTTCCTCAGACATGACAAATAAATTCTTTTTTCCTCCTCCAGTTCCTGCTCTGCTGTGATTTACCTTCTCTTTGTTCCTTGTTCTCTTTAAATCTTTCTTGTTTTTGTTTTGACGTGTTGACATTTCTGTAATTTGTTTTCTCAACCGCTGTGTTTGGAGATGATTTTTTCCTTATATTTCCATTTGTTTCCCACCTGTTCAGACAGATAAATAATCCTTTGTGCCTCCTTTGTTTTTCTGTCTTTTTGTTTTATAACCTTTCAAATGATGACTTTTATTTCTACACAAATGCACGCAGCCTTTAACTGAAAATGTTTTGTAAAAAAAAAAAAATCAACAACTTTTGACTTGTAACCCCAAAAGTTTGCTTCCTGTAACTGAGATAATAAATACCCTGTGATAAATGCACTTCCCTCTGTGGGAATTGCAGGGTTGGGAATTTTAGACAGGGGTTTAATAAATCAGCTGACAGTGGCAGTCAGGTCAAGAAAGCAGTATGATGCTATCTATCCCAAGGAGAAAACTGTCCTACTACTGTCCTCCAGGGGGGGCATGGCAGAGAATAATTGAGGAACACTCCTTTAACCTATCACCTTAGTGAGCAGGGGGCGCGTAACTTCCTTAACCACCAGTCCACCACTGCAACGCCATAATGGAATCGATTGATATCAGGATCAGAAATGAAGTGTTTGGACGATACTGGCATATTGAATATCAGATGTTAATGTCCTTAATTGACATTCATAAACTGACCAGAAGAGGCAGCAATGGACCAGAAGCGCCTGTATCCCTGTGAACAGTGAGTAATGTGAGTCATTTTCTTCATGGACATCGGTGTAGAAGTTCTCTGACATAAAACTTAGCAGTTTTATGTCAGAGATCACTGTATTTTTGATTCTATCACAGACTTAGACTTTACTGCTTTGTGCTCTCAGGACATTTACAGCGCACCAGCTGCTGCCGTGTCTCTGTGAGATCAAATCGGTGGTTTTCTTTATGGACTTTTGTATGGGGAGGTGGTTCTTAGTGGATAAAGTAGTCTGAAGACTCCTGACAACACGTCAGGGTGAATTATGTGACTGCATTGTTACCACCGTCTTTAGTCAAACACTACCCTCTGCTGACAGTTAACTGAACTTACACCCTGCGTTAAATGCGTTTGTGTTCCCGAGATGTTGCAGATCTGCTGTGGATGACGCAGTAGTGGGATCAATGGATTCATTCAAGAAAACAAACAAATCCAAGGATTCGCCAATTTCATTCAGGAAAACAAACAAATCCAAGTATTTGTACAGTAGTATTTTTTTTTTTTTTTGGGGGGGGGGGGGGTGATTTTACTCATTTCATGTATATTTTAACTGAATGTGATTAAAAGACATTTTAGGACTTAGGAATATTCGCTGAGTATTTATTCTTACTGCGCATGTGCACACGGGAACGGGAAGATGGACCTATAATAAAGGTATTGGCACGGTGCTGAAGACAGTGAAGTTAGTTATCACGGTAGATCTAAGAAGAGGAGGAAGCGCACAGAAAAGAAAACAACGTCTGAATCGATTCTATAAAATGTGTTCCTTACTGTGTCATGATGACGCCTTATGTGAGAAATGACCAGTGCCGCAGCCACGGAGTTCACTGTTCATTTCTCACGTTTTCAGACATAAGACAGAAGTAAAGCATTTAATCAATAATATGAAATCATCGAGAACAAAGTAAAAACAAAATTCCAGTTCTTTTTACTCTTTGTTAGAACATCTTAGAAGGATATTGCCTTAAATATGAACTAAAGACTTTGCTTTAATTTCATGTGTCCTCTTTACCTGTAGGTGGCAGCAGTAGCTTATGGAGCACCGAGAAAGCTGCAGAGTAAGGAGTAGTGGAGAAGTAGATAATGGAGGAAGAGTTATGTTAGGAACTAATAAATTAAGGGAACGGATTGAAGAGAGGAAAATGAACAACCACAGCTCGAGGCCATTAGAAGAAAGGAATGAAGAGTGAAATGTATAAATATATAATCAAGACAAAATGTCATCGTTAAAGGGAGTATGGATAAAAGAAAAAGGGAGGGTAGAAGACGACTGGTTTGATAACGACTCATAAACAGGGCAAGAAAACAGGAAAAAACTAAGGAAGAGAGATGTGGAGGACGGGTGCATTAGTTCCAGTCCGTGTTTATTTCCTGTAACAATCGATGTCTCTGGTTGTGATTGGACAGACTGGATCCCTCCTCTCTCTCTCTCTCCCTCCTTCCTTCACAGCAGTCTCCTCCTCTCTTCTCTCCTCTCCTCCTTTTCTTCTCTCCCCGCTTCCCAGGGTGTAAAGATGCTTCCTCCCCAGACTAAGGATTTATAATTCTCTCCTTTCTCCTCTCAAGGTAAGCTCCACGAGCCCTTCTTCCCTCTGTGTGTGTGGGTGTGCGTGTTGAACTTCCACAGCTCCTCGTTGTGCCACACGCACACGCTCAGCCTCGGTATTTTAAATGATGTTGTAAACGTCCTGTTTCTGTTTGTTCTCCTCTTCCTCGGAGGTTCTGTCAGGTTCACTCGTGTGTGTTTACCCGAGCGAGTCACTGTTTCTCCTCATCAAAACTCAGTCCGATCCTCAGACTCCGTTCACTCCTGGCAACTTTCTGACTTATAGTTTTACTTAAAAAAAAATCAGCCAAATTAAGGTCATGTGGTCTACAGTCCTTGTCAGTCATTGGTCCATATTGGACATGTTAATTGCCATGTTTTTCTTCACTGTTTGGTAGACGGTATGTTTTCAATGGTTTTTAGCATCTTAGCTAGTCTGGTTTTTACTTTTTTTTTTTTTTTTTTCTAAAATTCCTCCAGCAGTTGCAGGAAGGTTTAGGTGGATGGAAGCTGTTTTTAGTTATCATCATGGTAAAGGTTTTCATCTTATTAATGGACAAACTTCATTTCGTCTTATTAAGTGTTAATTCATTTCTCCAAATTTAGCCGTTTGCCAATTTATTTGTCGTTTTGCAGATGTTTTATGGCTTCATTTGGTAAAACAAAAGTAAAAATGTTTTTACAGTTGAAATTAATATTTGGAAATTTTTAGGAAATATATTAAAAGAGACTTGGAGTTTTAGAGTTTGATGGAACAATTTCAAACATCATAGAAATTAATTTAGCTCAAACCATTACATTTGTGTTTATATTAAGATGTACACATTTTCCCTGAACTGTTCTCAGTGTCTACATCTAGTTTTATGCAGGAAATAAACAATTAGATTTTGTAATGATGATTATTTGAGATTGATGCTGTTTAAACACACATAAATCTTACATGAAAGATACACACAAATAAATGCACACGTACACCTCAGATCATTTAAATTAATGCTAATTTATTCTGTTTTTCGTAAACACTGAGTTCAAAGATGCTACCAGTCCCACAGTGCTCTCTCTCTCTCTCTCTCTCCATTTAACCAGAGGCCAGCAGTGTGACTTCTCCAATGCTAAACAAATTACCTCAGTCTATTTTTTTAATGAACCTGAGTGAACTCAGCGCTGCGTCACATCACCAAAGTTCACAGAGAAAATCTGTGATTGTTATCATCACAGAGAATACGCAGTTGTTGATCCACTGCTGCCTCCATTACAAAGATCAAGTGTGTTGTTTTGTGACATCAGTGTTTGAAATGTATTGTTGAAATTTACCCTAGTGACACAAACTGACCACCGGAGGCAGCAGTGGACCAGCAGCTGCTGTCTCCATTTGAACTAAAATCACAGATTTAGCTTTAGATAGACTTCTTCGACTATGCTTCCAGGTTTCCCTTCTATTCCACTTCAACTATCCCACTGCTTTGGTTTTTTTAGCTTAAATGTATCTCCTAGGTTCAGTTCCATCCTGGGTCTTTTTTTTTAAGTGGACCAGTCTTCATTTATTTTTTTCTTTTCTGCTCTATTTTCATGTGATCCTTCATCTTTCATCCCACTCTCCTTTGTTTACATCCTGAGCTTTTTATCTTTACTTCCCCCATCTTCCTAGTTTCCTCTGCCAGCCACTGCCACGGCACTGATTTTCATCCTTTTTACTGTGTCCCTCCTCCAGACACACACCCTATTTTCATTCAGCCTCCGACTTCACCTATCCTCCCCCTCCACTCCATCTCTGTGTCCGTCTCTTCTCTCCAGTCTTCCCCGGAGACCCTTAAATCCATTAGGATAAGAGCTTCTCTATCAGCTCTCGAGGATCCTTTACTTTAGTCTCTCTCTCTCCCTCCCTCCCTCTGAGACACACACACACACACACACTTAAGGATCAGTCTAATCTCCTTGTGCATATATTGCTACTCCTATAATCAACCAGAGTCTCCCTGAGCCGGAATCATTGTTTTTCTCCATAGTATTTGGTTCATCAGCTAACTCTGTCGCTCAATGGCTAAAAACATTTTTCTGTTTTCTCCTGTGGGACCCATGTGTTTACTGAGATGAACCTTTTCAACAAAAAAATACAATTTGCGAAAAGGTCCCTTCACACAGACGTCCATAGAGAAAATCTGTGACTTTTTTTATCCTGCAAGGACATCGTAGCTGCTGGTCTATCGCTGTCCCCTGTGGTCAGCTTGTGCAACTAAAGTAAATATGTACTGAAGATGTAAATTCTTTGAACTGAGATGTTGATCCACTGCTGTCGATGCCTCCGTCAGCAGGAGCGGATTGACGTTTGTTGTTCCTAAACTTTAAGTGTTTTTCCATGGACTTGTTTTTCCATGGTGTGGACGAGGGAGTTGGTCACACACTTCTATATCTGTGGTCTCACAGCGAGGTGTCACAATGACCGTGCTATCAAGATATGGAGCCAAGAATAAGTTTTAGCTTTTTAGCTAGAATTATTTTTTAGCTCATGTGACAAATGTCAGTTCTTGAGATTATCATTCAGTCTTGAATCCTGGCCTGAACTCCGTGCCGCCTTAATGACATCACTCTTGGAGACAGACAAATGTGTCACATGTTCAGTGTAACATGTGACACAATGCAGATTTCTTGTGCAGCGCTTTCTTAGCTGAACAACAGAAGCTTTGTTCAGAGGATGCACACAGAAAGTAAACATTCTTTTGTGCCTCATCTCCTGACTTTGTTGTTTCTCTCCCACAAATCCAGGTCGTTCTTCTTGGAAATTGACAAACATTTCAGTTGTTTCATATTTATATATATATTTTTTTTGTTTAAAGTGATTGTGCCTCACTGGAATTACCATATTCTCTTTTCCTCCAGTGGAGTTGTTGATATTTCCTTTGAGATGTTTGCACAGAGGCACAGCTTCATCCTCATTCTGTCACACATTTATTTACAAACGGCAAGTTTAACAGATGATGCTACAGTTTTTCTTTTTCGAGGCAAGAATTATGAGAGTCTTCTTCCAAAGATTTCTGTGAAATAGTTTCTGGACATTTGTCCCCCAGCAGAGAGGACAAGGACATAGATTGTGGAATGAACCAAGCCCCTCTGTCTGTTCTGTGGAACAAAGCAACTGCTGTTTTCTCCACACAGTGATCATCAGTGAGCGCTGCTCAACTGACATTTGTTTGGAGCGTCTTACATCTCATGGTCTGAGTTTATGTCACAGCAGGAGGTTATTATACTGGAGTTTCTGCTTTCACATTTGTCTGGGACGGAACCAGACAGAGTTCTGTGACGGCATCGTTTAAACAATTGCTCTATTTATCATTGTACATAGACATTCGTAACACAAATGTGCAAAATCACTGGTTCTTTCTTCAACCCAACAACTTTCACTTCACAATTAAGTTCTTGATTTGTGAGGTTCACAACCCTTCGGCTAACCTTACGTACTTGTATTACAAATATTACAAATACTTTTTTTTTTCTCCGTGTATGTCCTTCTGAGATAAAAAAAAACACTGCAAATAATGACATGATTTCTCACATTGTAATTGTTTTTACTTAAGCATGTCTTATCTTATATTAGCATGAAGTTGTTGATGTGAAATAGGAAGTGTTTGTATTTCATGTGACAAAAGCGCTAAAAAAAAATTGAATCAGTGATTCAGACATGCAGAGTAGAATCAGGTCTGAAGACGTCTCCAAAAATTTCAAATAAAAGGCTTTTGGTTTTGAAAGTCTCCAAAAAATAATAATTCTCATTTCTTCTCATCTTCTTGTGAGTCAGGTTTATCATTACAATCCTAATATTACCATGATCCTTTCTTACAAAGGCTTCTCTGTTTCTGTGAATGCCAGTCTCTGAACCTGATCTTGTCAGGACGTCAGCAGAACTTCCCTGTAAACCAGCATAATCTAAGCCTGCAGTGAATATTTTTTATTGGCATGTAAAGAGATGAAAACGTTGCTCTGTTTTTTTTTTTTCCCCTGAGCAAACATCAGACCAAGCTTCTCCGCTTCCTGCTGCTGGCCTCATAAAGCTGTCATGCGTGTCATAATAGATTTGAACATCAGCAGGGCCTTGTATCTATAATGGAGGAGGCGGCAGCAGAAGCTGCAGAGACCATGAAGAAGTGGGTCAAACTGAACAACGTCTCAGGAGTGGAGCGGCTTTAACGTTAGGGTTTTATCTGTGCTCCCAGAACTGACTGAGTCACTGAAAATAATGTCTTGCTGTCAATGTGTCACAAACATCTTCTCTGTTAGTGCCGCAAAACAGGAAATAATTCATCACAGTTGGAATCCTGACTGGAGGTCTGTGCTCAGGTCTGTTCAGACCAACGTAGCTAATGTAGCTCTGGTGTCTTTTTGTGTTGTTCCTCATGCTAACGTACCTTACAGGTACGATAATTTGGCTACCCTAGTTAGATCGTCATGCTAGCAACTTTACAATCGAAGGTTTTGCCTACTTTAGCTACATTCAAAATCTAGTCTTCTGTCATCTGTTAGCAGCCTACATATCAACATGTTTATCCTCAACTTCTTAGTCATTTTAACAGTTGTCTTATACTCAGAGGGTTTTCAGCCTGATTCCAGACTTAGTAAATTCTATGCAAACCCCAGGGAAATGGGATAAGGGTTAGGGTTAGAACTTGTAATGCACTTTGTGTGGTCACCAGGTCTAGAAAAGTGTGACACACGTACTATTGAACCCCAGGGGTTCGGCAGAAGACACACACCCGACTCATATGATTCGTGATGACACGCCCCCGCTTGGCCATCACCGGTGAATGCGCATATCAAACTGGTGGGGTTCAGTACCTCCAACAAGGTTAAGAACCACTGCAGTAAAGTGTTACCACTGTCTCTGTTTCCTTGATGGGATGAATTCAGAGGCAGCGTTTGTTGTGGGTATATACGGCTGGATGTGCTGGATGGTTGTGTGATAAAATGAAATACACAATAGATGTGAGAAAATATACATTTTAGTTCATTTACCTCAAAATAAATACTA